TTTATATAAAAGTGATTTTTTTATATCCTTACTATATATATATATATCGGAGTGAGAGAGGAATGGAAATTGCGTGTTGCAGTAAATTTGGAGATAGTGTACAATAAAATAAAATATATATCAAGCAAACGCGTCGTTTTTGGCCCCCCATTGAAAAAAAAAACAAAAAAATTAAAAAAACTATAGTAAAAATGGATCAAAACACTGTTGCTTTCTACAGTGCTCTCACATTCCCCTTTTTTATATAGTAGGGATATGGATGGTCCGAAGTGCAACGAATAATTGTTTACCTGATAATGCTACAAGATCATTGATGTTTAAACCTTTCTTCTCGAATAGAGTTTAAAGGGTCGGAAAATCTGAAAATGGTGAGGGTAAGTTCCCAGAGACGTCAGATATAAGAGAGACCATACCATCTCTTCTACCAGTGAGCACATCCCACATGGGTATCTTAAACAAAGAAAAAAGGAAGGGGTTAGAATTGAGAATAGCTAGAATTTTTGAGTTAAAAATGCATTTTCTTAGCATAAAAGAGAAGAATACATTGACTTACAGGAAAAGAAAAAGCATCAGGAGCAGCTAATTCTAGAATATCTGCACAGGATACAATTCCTGGGTAGGCTCTTTCTATTTGAGATTTAATATCATCAATTGCTTCGAAACCACGCAGTGTTAGATTCGGTCTCGCATCTTTTTCAGATTGATTAGTTCCGACTGTGTCCAAAAGTATGGATGCATCACATCCCAAAAAATTTCGTCATCATATCAGTGATTAAAATGCATATTAAGTCTCTACATATGTGCACGTGCATAAATACAATGTGTAGATGTAGGGACGAAGCCCGTACCAAGCTATCCATGGCAATGGCGCAGAAATTCATTTTTTTCATATATTGGGTGGCTGCTCAAATGGTCGTGCACGCTCGTCCGAATCCGTCCTAGTTTACTCGAATCCCTAGATCTCGTTAGTAGGTGTGCGTGTGAGTGCATCGGGATGTGCACGTGCTAGAGTTCTCTTATGATTGAAGAAACTAATGATTTCAATGAAAAAAAGGCTTCTATGCGATTATCTGTAATATGATTTTTTTTCTTTTTTTTT